TGACCAGTCCTTGCACTTACGACTGTCAGTATCCCCACAGTCACGTGATTGAGATTTAAGCGCTTTGCAACTAGCAAGTGTTTACAAACATTGCAGTGTCCCGCAGTCACCATTTGCGTGCTTCACTGCCCACTTCCAATAAGCAGTCAGTGGAGAAGCCAGCAGTGAAATCACAAGTTGCAGTCAGTGAAATCGCAAGTCACAGTAACAACCGCAGGTGATTCGCTTAATGGCCGTGGCAGAAGTGAGGTCATAAGTCTTGTGGTCACGTGATATCTCGCTTAATGACATCACTTAGCGACAGAGTTTCCAGTCCTAATTGTGGTTGTTAAACAAGGACTACCTGTACTTTAGAGTGGTGCAGATATATACATTACCTACCTGCTTTGTCAATGTCTGTGTCAGAATTGGGACTAGATATTGGAGAGCACCCTTGGCATAGAATTTACTGGTATGCTCTGGAGGTCGTCCTTGTTCTGCTGCCTAGAAAAGAAATAATACAAATGTCTTAATTCCAACTAAACATGTATTTGTGCTCCTTCCCTATTTGAAGTGAGAGAAGTATTTGCAGGTATATTTCCTTTGAAACTCCCATGGAATGACATATTGCAATGCTGTTTGCTAATATATATTTAAATATATATGCAAATACATGAATAGATGGGTAATGGATAACACAGAAAACTATTACTTTAACTTGATCAGTTATTATTGCCTAAAGTTTCATGAACCATCATTTTCTCTTACCTCAATTTGATCCCTAAGAGAAGATTCAACCCTTCTAACCCAAAGTCAAAAGGCTTTAATCTTTTATAATCTTACCCCTATTTGACTGACAGAATCAGAGAAGGATATAATGGTGGTGACAAGTTCTGAATGTGGGACAGACCATTATATGGTAGTGTTAAGAAAGGAATGTAGGAACAATAGAAATGGTTCTAGTGTGTACAGTTATGTTAATAGGACATATGAAGGACATTTGGTGGAATTATGAAAGAGGCTGTAGATGATGTGAAAAGGCATATAAGAAAATGATTAGGATATGAATGTGCAGATAGTTGCAAAGAATGTAGTCAAAGAAGAAACAATTAAAAGAGGCAGAGAATATTCATAGCAATTTTGATGAAAAAATGTTTTGGGAGAAAAGGCTAAACACTGAACATCTAGCAAAGTAAAGTAAACATTTAAATTATGAAATGGTTTGGGTTAAAACTAAAGTGAGGGAATGCAGAAGTACGTTATACCTTTGGGAATGCTAGCGATATGTTACAAATTTATTTGGGAGTTACAACAATATGTTGAAGAATGGAATTATATATGATAAAGTAAATAGGCTTGAATTAAGAATATTTTGCATGAAAATGGAGTTGAAAGTCAGTTGTTAAATGCAGGAAACAAGGTACATGATGGAAATAAAGCATACATGAGAATAAATGGAATGCTTCATGAATGGTTGAAACTGAGTAGGGAATAAGACAAGAATGTGTGATGGCCCCTTAGTTGTTCAATGTATTTATGGACACATATAAAAGGAATACCTACACCAATATTAAAAGGTGTGTGTGTGGTTAGGGATGAGAATACGAGCATGTACATATGTGTGCAGGCAACGCTATTCTGTTAGCTTGAAAGCCAAATGATTTGTAATAAATGCTACACAGAATACAGATTTGAAAAGTAGTCATCAAAGACCAAGACAACTATGTTTGAATTTTAAAAAATGAAGTGAACAACAGCAAATGGCCAAAAATTGAGGTAATTTTTGAACCTTAATAAATAGGATGTTTACTAAAGACAGGGAATGGATTGAGAGTTTTTAAGATTTGCAAATGCTGGTAGAAAGAGAGAAGGTAGTATGTGGTCTGTTGCAAGGAGCATTTGTCAAAAAACATGAAAATAACAGTTCAGCACATCAGGAGAAACAAAAGTTGAATGCAGCAGGAACAGGGTGCTATTACAATGGTCATATGTGTGAAAATCTACATAGAATCTTTTAAATGTACAGTGCAAATTTTTTTTTCTCACAGTTAGGAACCTTGGGTCTCAACATTCATAGATGTATGCATCACTTTAATCAGCGTGGTGCATGATGTCTCATCATAGACCAAAGATTGCTACAAGCCAAAAATGTCATGATTAGTGGATTCATGTAATGTAATATTGGCAACTCTTTAACTCACTTCTGAAGCTTCTATAGCCAGGTCCATTTCTTCATCACAGACATTTGACCAGAACTCTATACCTTGCAGAGCCACTTCATCAATATCACTTTTCATGGCTTCAATTGTGATCTTCAGAAAAACAAAAGCAGTGTTAAACCAGTGTTTTCTTCTCCACCAAGACAATACACTAATTTAAAACACATAAATATCCAATCTCAAATCCCACTTGTGAGTACTCACAGCAAAAAGTGCAGGACCCATATAAGTTTCCATGTATTGATAATAAAGGGACATAATCTTCACCAAGTTCTGTAAGGCAGCTACTCGCACCTAAATATAAGAGCAAAGGAACAAATATAATATAATATAAGCTATATAATATATAATAAAGCTAATATAAGCTATTAATGTTTTCTTGTTTGCACTAGGCAAACAAGAAAACATTAATAGCTTATATATCGTACGAATGAAATAAACCTAGTATTCAAATTACTTTGACCAAATATCTTAGAGTTTGTTCCTAATTCTAAAGTTGAAAAGGTAACAGAAGAATGGGAAAAGAAAATAACTGTAAAGCATTTTACTCATTAAATATCAGAAAAATAACCCCCCTATACTATTTCTGACATTATAGCAATAGGAGACTTATACACTATCATCTATATAAAGCAACTGTTATGACAAGGATCTTTCTTAAGAGATTGTGTCTTTTCTCTTTTATTGAACTAGCTTAACTCCTCCCTGATCATGCCATCCCTCTTATACCACCAAAGATCTCCTTAAAACCCTTGCACTTTATGTAATTTTGTAATGCATACAATTAATCTTTTAGTTGTCACTCTAATTGTAACCCAGCTAAAGATGCAAAATTAATCTCCTCACTTTCATACCTGAAATCTGTGCCACTCCCTACCATCTTTCTCTGATGTTGGATTTTAATCTCTTTTGGGAGAGATATCTATCTTTGTTTTGTTTTTATATAACTCCATGAAGTATTCATTTCTCTCTCTCTCTCTCTCTCTCTCTCACACACACACACATATATATATATATATGCCGCCCATCTCACTATACAAGCGATTCTAGATGGCATACCGAATATATTGATAGCACTGTATAAAATATTGGTAAAGAATCCGTTTAAAGCTTTTGTCATCATTTTTTGGAAACAGACTTATATTTTTCATACACTAAGACCTTCAGATTGCTGGAAAACAGTTTCAGACTTACCCTAGTATCAGGACACTGTGTCGCTTCACAGACTACTTGCATGATAAAGTGCCTTTCAGACTGAAAATTTTGAAGGGAGAGAAAAATGCAGAATTGGGTCCAAAAGTTACAAAGTACATTTCAAATTAAAATAAAGATGAACAGAATATACAATATTCCCGCTAGAATCCTCTGGTACTCAATGATTTGATTTTGATTACGTGCCATCAAGTCATTTTTGACTCCTAGCAACCACATAGAGAGATTTTCCATGACTGGAGCTCCAATACACAGCTTTAATTTATTTTACAAAGCACGTGCAATGTAAAAAAACCTCTTCAAATATTTTTTTGATTGAGGAATATATGATTGCAGTATGGCAGCTTCTTCCATATGAGTACTTAAAGTCATCTCAACTGCACTCTTTTTCTGAAAGTGTAAAATTCTTGAGTCTACCAGAAACTTTAAAGTTCTGGCTTGAAATAAAATTATTTCAAATGATTATAGTTTATTACAGATATCACACAATAAAATTATAGCCCCAATATAAAATTGTTTGGATAAACTGACCACAAAGTTTAAATTCCTAATTAGACAATCAAGAAATTTTATTTCACTTTTCATTCATCTGAAAATTAATTTTAATTCATATTTTAGGTGCCTTGAACAGAACACTGATGGTAAAACAGAGCCCAAATCCAATAGATTTGTAGACAGTAGTTGAAATTCCTTGCAATTCAAACAATCTACTTACCCTATCACCATTTTAGCCCTATAAATTATGCTGTGACATAAAAGATAACTTCATAACGTTTAAGAAACAAGCGCACACTACCACTCACTACAGGATCAGAACCATTCTATGCTGGTTCTGGTTTGTTTGGTAAATTCATAACACAATTTTAAAAACTATCTGACTAGAGGCAAGCCTTCCTCTTGATAGAGGAGAGCACATACACTTACAGTCTCTTAGGATTTGGTAATTAGAAACAATTGGTCTGCTTGAGGCAAAGGGAGAAGTGCTTTTACAAGTCAACCTTCACCACTCAGGCTTGCAAATGTCTCATAAAACTGTCTCTAGCTGGAATAATATAGTTATGTGATAAAGTAGTCATTCCCTTTTTAGTTTTTCTGATTTTTTGCATATCTTTACCACTGAACTGTATCAGAGTTTCACACAGGTCTTAGTGATTTATAAATGGCGTGAGTGACAAAATAACACCAAAGTTTTGGAGCCTGTTTCACTTATTTCATGAACAATGTCATCCAACACGTAATGTACCAATGTAAAAAAGTAATGCTGTCTTAGATTCAGTCACATTATCTTTAGCTGCAATATCTGCAGACAAACACTTCCCGTTTACTGGGGTTCACACTGCTGTATAGGAACTGTGACCCACTGCTCCATGGCAAATTGCTTCAGTAACATTTAAGGCTTTCTAGCATGAACTTCTTGTTTTATTCTTTGCCACATTTCTAGGATGACTATGACACAGCTATTCCAAAATAATTAATTTATTTTTCTTCATCCATTCTCTTATAGACTTGTTTGTATGTTCAGGATCAGTATTTTGCTGCATCATCCATGTGTACTTCAGATTTAGCTGATGGACAGTCTGATATTCTTCCATAGAATTCATATGTTTTAGCTTCCCCCAAATATAACAATATTCATATAAACATAAAAAGCTCTACTTGTGACTTATACATCTATAGAACATTCTTCCAAGTGCTTGCTGGCAAATTTCAGATAGGCATCAATAATCTTCGTAGTAAACAATGGCTTCCACCTTGCTAGATTCCCATGAATTCCATTTTTACCCAGTACTTTTTGGACGTTGGGGTCATCAACACCAGCTTTAATCAAGCCAAGTGGCTGCAGATCCTAGGGTTTTGTTCTGGGCTTCTTTGTAATCTGCTGCTCATGGGCAATTTTGACCAGATGGCTACTTTTGGGAAGATTCACTACTGTCCCAAATATTCTAAATTTCAACTCTGATGGCAGATTAATAAAGCCCCGGAGCTTCAAAAATTGTATTATAACATTTTCCAGATTAAACAGATTCAATTATTTTTTTACTGAGACCATCAGACATTCCTTTTCAGCAAGGCATGTGCCAGTAGGATCTCTGTGCTGAAAGTTTCAGAGTGATAAGGAAAGCCAATGTTTTTGAGAAATATCTGAGGTAGGGCTGCCCCAAATTTGAAATCTGGCCCTATTTATCCTTTTATCTGAAATGACTTAAATAGGCAGGGAGGCACATCTCAGATTGGATTGTTTATGGAATAAGCTAAACACACACTTGCACTTGGGTTTTATTTGTTCATTCAGACTCCCTTTATAAATTAGTGAACTCTAATAACATTCAGTGACAAAGACAAATATTCACAAAATTCTAAAGAGAATTGTTCACAGAACTGTAGTTTTTACTGGAAATGCGCTATGCACATTGTTCTGTTTACCATACAGTGGTACCTCGGGTTACGAATTTAATCCGTTCCGTGACTCTGGTCGCAACCCGATTTGTTCGCAACCCGAAGCAAAATTTCCCATAAGGTTCAATGTAATTACCGTTAATCCATTCCGGCGTCCGTGGACCATGCGTCAAGGGCGGAAAAACGGCCATGCGGCAGAGTGGAAAAATGGCCACGTGCCGCAGGCAGAAAAACGGCCGCGGACCACGCGGCAGGGTGGAAAAACAGCCGCGGACTACACGGCGGGGTGGAAAAACGGCCACAGACCACGTGGCACGGGCGGAAAAATGGCCGCAGACCACGTGGCACGGGCGGAAAAA